TCAGAGACTTAGCACATTCACAATCTAAGCAAGCACTCTACTACAAAGCTACATCTCTAACCCTTTTATTTATGTTTAAGGCATCATTTTTTTATTCTTCATTTGTTTACTTCTTCATGCACTTTTAAGATTTTTAACAAAAACATGTTCATAATATACTTCCAAAATGTTGGTCCCAGGCATCAACAACCCCCTCTTCAAGCTATTGCTGTAATCTTTTTTGGGGGGCGGGGGATTTTACCAGGGATTAAACTCAGGGGGCACTCAACCACTGAGCCACATTCCCAGCCCTATTTTGTATTTTATTTAGAGACAGTGTCTCACTGCCTTCAGAGCCACTGGGATTATAGGTGTGCACCACCATGCCTGGCTCACTGCTGTAATCTTTTTTTTTAAATATTTATTTTTTAGATGTAGTTGGACACAATGCCTTCATTCTATTTATTTATTTTTATGTGATCTGAGGATCAAAACCAGGGCCTTGCATGTGCTAGACAAGTGCTCTACCACTGAGCTACAAACCCAGCCTCTCATTGCTATAATCTTAAGAATGAGTGAGTCCTTTTTTATTTTATTTTGAGACAGGGTCTTGATAAGTTGCCCATGCTGGCTTTGAATTTATGATCCTCCTGCCTCAGCTTCCTGAGTAGATGAGATTATAGGTGTGCACTACTGTGTACTGCACTTTTCTTTTTCACTTCCAGTCTTGAATTCATTTTTTTTCCTGGGTATTGTGCTTTGATGATGCACATCTCCCAGCAGCATTTCGAGAAAAGGTACACGTGATACCTTGCATGTTTGAAATGTCTTCTATTACTATTTGAATTCCTTGTGTTTATTTGGGATATTGTTGTTATTATTTGAGGTACTGGGATTGAGCCAGGCAGGGCCTCATATATACTAGATTCTAGAAAAGCACTCTACCACTGAGTTTCATCCCTAGCCAACCCCGTTCCCCCCCCACCTTTTTTTTTTCTTTCTGGTACTAGGGATTGAAGAACCAGGTGTGCTTAACCACTGAGCCACATCCCCAGCCCTTTTATTTTTTAATTTGGAGACAGGGTATTGTTAAGCTGCTTATGGCCTCTCTAAATTGCTGAGCCTGGCCTTGAGCTTATAATCCTCCTGCCTCAGCCTCCTGAGTCACTGAGATTACAGGCATGTGTCACCACACTTTGCTAGCCCATTTTATTTTACTTTTTAATTTTATACTTTATTATTTTTATTTTACTGTGCCACTGGGAATTGAATCAAGAACCTTATACATGCTAGGCAAACACTCTAGCACTGAGCTACATCTCTAGCACTTCTTAAATTTTGAGACAGGATGTTTCTAAATTGCTTAGGCTGGTCTCAAACTTTCAATCCTCTTGCCTCAACCTCAGAATTCGAAGACATTGCTCATTGTCATCAAATTCTAGACTCATTGTTGAAATATCTGATTCTTTTTTTAATCTTTCCTTGTTATTCTGATAATTAACCAAAACAGTGCCATATACCATAAGATAATTTAGTAGAGTGGAAGAAATTAATAGAAAGTATAATGTGGGGAAATTCCATTTTAAAACCAACACAGAATATAGTGTCTAGGAATAAACTTAATGACATAAAACTCATTTTTTTTTCTTGGCTTTGGGTTTTATGTCTTTGTTAGAAAGGCCTTTCCTATTACAGGATTATACATAACTTCCCTTGTTGCCTTTTGGTAGTTTACTTAATTATACTAAGATTATTAATCTAACTAGCATTTATGCTAATATGAAACAACTGAAATGTAAACCTACTTTTATGATGGGAATTATGTTTTATTTCAATGAGAAACTCTGAAGTAAGTCACTAGAACTTCAAAGACTTTTTTATTTAGTTATTGGGGGTAGAACTCAGTGGTAAGATAGTTGAATAACATACACAAGGACCTGGATTCAATCTCCAGCATGGCAAGATAAAAATAGTACATTATTTAATATCCCACACCTATAATCGCAGCTACTCAGGAGGTGAAGGCAGGAGGATTGCCAGTTTGAAGCCAGCCCTAGCAATGTAGTGAGTAATGTAGTAGTAAATGGCTCTGGATTCAATCCCAGTATCATACAAACAAACAAACTTTTATTTAGGTACTGTTTGGTAAATCCCTGCCCTTTGCTGATAAGTGATATAAAGAGACAAGAGACAGATGAATACTGTAGTTAGAGCTGAGCATGGTGACACATGTCTGTAACCCCTGTGGCTCATGAGGCTGAGACAGGAGGATCACGAGTTGAGGCCAGCCTCAGCAACTGAGTGAGAACCTGTCTCAAAATAAAAAATGGGATGAGAATGTAGCTTAGTGATAGAGGAATCCCCAGTAAAACACACATTCACTCACACACACACACACTAAAATAAAATTGTAGTTAAAACCCAGGGCCTATGGACTGGGGATGTGGCTCAAGCGGAGCGGTAGTGTGCTTGCCTGGCACTCGCGCGGCGCTGGGTTCGATCCTCAGCACCACAAACAAATAAAGATGTTGTGTCTGATTAAAAAATTCTCTCTCGGGGCTGAGGATGTGGCTCAGCAGTAGCGCACTTGCCTGGCATGCATGCGGCCCGATTTGATCCTCAGCACCACATACAAAAAAAACAAAGATGTTGTGTCCACCGAAAACTAAAAAAATAAAAATAAACATTAAAAATTCTCTCTCCTCTCTCTCTTTAAAAAAAAAAAACAAAAAAAAAAAACCCAGGGCCTAGCACTGGGAGTGTAACTTAGTGGTAGAAAACTACCCTACACATGCACTAGGCCCAGGGTTCTATCCCCAGCACTGAAACAAAGAAAGAAAGAAAACAGGATTTATGTACTTCTGAGTACTTCCATTTATTGGGAAGAGTTAAAGAACTCTAATGTTGCCAAATTGTTTTTTAGTCATCTAAAATGAAATAATTTTGTTAAGAATCCTGAAACATTTTAGATAGTTATGAGCAGACAAAAAAATAATATATTATATACTATTCTTGGTTATTTATAAATTGTACTTAGTACACATTTATATGTATGTGAACTGAAAATATTTGCAGTGTGTTTACCAAAGTAGAAAAATCTAAAAGAAGGGTTTTGAAATAGCCATTACAATTCTTTATTCTCTTCTGATAGAGTTTGAAATGTGCCTGAATAAGATTAAAAAGAACATCTGGCCAGTTGCAGTGACTCATACCTATAATCTCAGCATCTCGGGAGGCTTAAGCAGGAGTATTGCAGGTTCAATGCCAGCCTCAGCAACTTAACAAGATCCTGTCTCAAAATAAAAAATAAAAAAGGGCTGCAAGTGTGGCTCAGTTAAGTGTCCCAGGATGCAGGGTGGGGTGGAAAACTTCTGATTGTTTCTAAACTCAATCATATTTCTATGATATAAATATAAAGCTCTATGCTTTAATATTCTTTCTTTCGCTCTCTCCCTCTTTTTTTTTTTTTTGTGGTGCTGACGATGTTAGGCAAGTACTCTGCATGTGAGGCAAGCACTCTACCAACAGAGCTATATCCCCCTCACTTTAATATTCTTAACATGATTGTGGTTTTATTTAAGTAATTTCTGATCTCTGTTCTGCACTTTCACCCTGCAGTTTATCATTCAAATCACTGAAACAGTTCTCCTTTTAAAGAGCAAATACAAGCCGGTAATCCCAGTGGCTCAGGAGAGTTCAAAGTCAATCTCAGCAACAGTGAGGTGCTAAGTGTATTTTATGTCTCTAAGTAAAATACAAAATAGGGCTGGGGATGTGGCTCAGAGGTCAAATGCTCCTGAGCTCAATCCCCAGTACTGAAAAGAGAGAGAGACAATTAAGTCATGCCAATTCTTTGCTTAACTGTATCAGGGTATCAGTCTTAGAATCAAGTCCACAAATCTTGACATGGCACAAATACCCTTCTGTCCAGCTGTGGCCTGCCTCCACTCAGGCTACTTGGTCCCATGCTCACCATGCTTTAGTCATGCTGAATTCTTGGTAATTCTTTTGGAACATGCTCTTTTTTACTGTTGGTGCCATTCTTTCCTCCATGATTTAATACTTTAGGTAAAATAGAAATACCTTAGGGAAGTCTTATTTCATCCCTAAATTTGACTAGTCTGCCTATTACCAGAAAAGGAATTAGTTGGACTAAGGTGGTAGTTGTAGGGAAGAGAGAAGTGACAGAGATACAAGTAGGAATACTCCAAACTGAGGGAAGGCCAAAGATAAGAAATGGGGAAGGAGAAGTAAGCCCTTGTAAGCCAGTTTAAAGATCTGAACTGCCAAGCACTGGCACGTGCCTATAATCCCAGTAACTTGGGAGGCTGAGGCAGAAGGATTACAAGTTTCAGGCCAGCCTCAGCAACTTAGAACCTATCTCAAAATAAAAAGGGCAGTTATGGGTCTGGGATTGTAGCTTAGTGGTAGAACATTTGCCTGGCCTGTGTGAGACACTGGGTTCAATCCTCAGCACCACATAAAAAAAAATAAAGGTATTGTGTCCATCTACAAGTTAAAAAAAAAAAAGTTATTTTCTTTAAAAAGGCAGAGGGGAGGCAGTTATGTTGTAGAGCATCCATGGGTTCGATCCTTAGTACCACAAAAAAATAAAGAAAAATTTGGATTTTGTTCAGTGGCCAGTGGAATGCAATTGAACCAATGTCAGAGGGGGCAGGATAATATGTTTATTCTATAAACATCATTCTTGGGCTGGGGTGTAGTTCAGTGATAGAGCAAGTGCTCTGAGTTCTATCCCCAACAACACAAAACAAACAAACAAAAAAAACCCACTCTCATGATAGGGCCCAAGGGCTTCAGATTCTCAGGGTCCTCTATAGATGCCAATACAGGCTAGAATCTTCTCAGGGAAAGAGGGAAATAGAGGCTGTGAAGAAAGCACTCTGTTCTAAAACAGTCTCCTGAGTGCTAGAAGAGAAGGTTCAATAGTCCATGTCAGTGTGGGCAGGAGGTGTATACCACAGTCGTCATGTGGTGAATTGTCATTTTTTTGTATTTAGTGCAAGATACTACACGGTCCCAGAGTGACCTAATATTTGAGGCAGTGCAAGAGAAAATCAATGTGGAGCAAGCTATTCTTGAGATACAGAAGAAATTTGAAACTGTAAGTATGAATCCCAATCTTTTCACTAAGACTCAGAGAATTACCTTTAAAGTTGTGAAATTTGGGGCTGGGGTTGTGGCTCAGCAGTAGAGTACTAGCCTAGCACATACAAGGCTCTAGGTTCAATCCTCAGCACCACATAAAAACAAATAAATAAATTTATTTTATTTATTTGTTTTTATGTAAAATACAAAATAGGGCTGGGGATGTGGCTACAACTAAAAAAAAAAAAAAAAAAAAAAAAAAAAAAAAAGTTGTGAAATTTCAGCAAAGACCAGAGGTCTGCACAAGCCTATTAGAAAAGAACTTGGGTATAGGCTATTTTCCTTCCCCAGGGTTCCTTAGTAGGATGTAGGGCCCAGGATCCTGCTCCAGAGTATAGTTATCCTTACACTGTAAGGAACCCTGAAAGGGACATGACTTTGTCCAGTGGTTTGTTCTCACATTTTATTGTGCACTCTGACTTATATTCCATCACTCTTTTTCTCACTGCTTTTCCCCAGAGTCAAGCAGAGTTTATAGAAATGAAATCCAACCTGGAGAACCTGGAAGTTTTAGTTGCCCAGCAGAGTAAGGACTTCCAGCAACTGTGTGAACAGCTAGACCAGCTGAAGGTGCCCAGTGTCCTAGCAGAACTGAAGAGATTGATCTTGGTGCCTCAGATACCTGAGCATGTGAAAGACAACACTTCTCAGACTTCACCAAGTCTGACCCAGAGCCTCAATTTTACCAGGCAGGAAAAATATGCCTCTGAGGAGCTGGTTATGTGGCAGGCCCAGGCTCACACTGCTGCAGGAAACCCAAGTACAGGCTCCTTAGTGACAAGGGAATTTGGTATCATGGGTGAGGGAACAAAGGGTGATGCTCTCCAGAAAGAGGTTGCACTGCCAGCCCTTTGGCCTTGTAAAGGAAATGAGCATGTAAAGGACAAGTCAGTACAGACTAATTGCCAAAATTGGGCAATTACTAAAGCAGATTCTAAGAACCATGGCTCCAGAATCCCAGGCCATAAAGTTCTTGGTGACAGTGACCTGCTTTACCAAGGAAATTCACAGCTCATATCCCTGGATTTACACAACTTTGCAATGAGCATTAAGAATCTCTGCCCAGAATATCAAGCAAAAAGCATATTCTCTTGTGCCCCTAGTGAACAGTTGGAAACTGAACAGAAAGGCAGGACTGTAGAAAGAGGGAGGAAATGCAAAAGGCAGCCGACCAGGAAAACCCAGAGAGGCAGGTTTGCAAGGAAGAGAGAACAAACCCCAAGTAAGACCTGTATTTTCAATTATAAATATCAGAATCCCCAGTCTCCAGTTTCTGATGAACGAATTCCCCCTACGGAGCAGCAGGAACCCCTTGCTCAGCCTCTGCATCTGCGGGGTCCCAGAAGCTCCACAAAATCAGTCTGCCATGTTCTGGGAGGAACTGTCAAGTCCAGTAAAATAGCACCAGCAGTGCAAGAGAGCCTCTCAAAGTTTCCTGAATGTTCTTCCCAAAACAAAGATCTGCATTCCAGTAGCTCCCAGGGGGACCACCAAATGCGCTGGTTCAGTGACCTCAATCTTGGAAATTCAGAGTCTCCTCCATGCAAGGAAACAGGGAAGAATTTGCTCTATGACCTGGGTTTTGATAGCAGTGATGATGACTTCTGACCATCCAACAGTGACTTCAGTTGGTTTATTGAGCTCAGGTAGAAAGACAAATTGGAGAATTCTTGACTGGTTGATAGAGTGAGAGGCCTTGCTAGGAAGGGCTCAGTGGGAGGCAGGGGTAGGATCAACTCTCTGGGTATCAGATTTTGCCTATGACAAGGGCATAACAGACAAATGCATCCTTAATTATTGGAATGAAATGTAGAGACAGTGGTCTCCAGTGGTGATAAATATGAAACAACAGCCTGGTGGTGGGGGCATTGGGAGAGAGGGTACTTGGTGAAAGTGGGGAGAGCTTCCTTGAATATTGTGTAGCAGAGGAGCACTCATGAAACTGGTACTGTGGCAACATGACTCCCAAACATCATATTTATCATCTTCAAAATATTGCCTGCACATGATCAATACCTTTCCAGACCTTGGGATTTTTTTCTATCTTGATCTAGTTATATTAGAATTTTCATTGTTTAACCAGTGGGCATATTATATAGGACACACTAAGTCAGTCTTCTGCTGAACAGTATTAAGGCTGCCAATGAAAGAGAGGTAATATGCACAAAACTACTGTTTAGAGCACTATAGTTCTAAGCCACATACATAAGATTTTCTTCCGTGTTTCTTTTGTAATAAAAAAATATAAAACCTTTAAAAAGTATGTATTTTTTTCATTAAGTTTATTGAACTGACCCCCTAGTTCAATTTTTTCTAAAATTTAAGAAAACAAATTGACAAGATACCATATTTTTATTTTCTAAGGCTCTCATAGATGATTTGAATAAACAACACCCCATTCAAACTGGTTTTTTATCCTATTTTCTAAGAAAGTGAAAATCCTCATGGGATGAAAAATTTCAAGGATTTGTCCATTTCCAATACAACTCAGTGGCCTCAGTGTAAATGACACTAACCTTAAACCCTAACCCTAACCCAGTGACACCAGAGCCACTAGGTTGCAGACTGAGTTGCCAAAAGACTGTTTCAGAAAGCAGTCATTCTTGATTTTTTTATTCTTTATTTTCAGGGAGGTGTGTCCCATAAAAATTTGGAGGAGTTGAGTTTGCCTGTGACAGACACCCTTGGCATGGGTGTCAGACACCAGCCTAAGCTGTTCTCACTCTCATTTTCAGACCAAGGGCCTCCTGTGGTCTGTACTGGGACCCATGGTCAATCACAGTAATTTTCTGAGGCCAAGAAGTTCAGGTATGGGTTCTGCCTCAACTGCCCTGGCCTCTTCTTCTTGTGGGCTACATTGGCTGTCTGCTCACCCGCCCTCTGTGGATTCCATTGCCTCCCCTGATGATTTTCATTACTAGTGCAAAGAAAGTATGGGAGGAAGAAGTCCAGCCACACCAAGTTTCATCAATTCCCAGAGTGACTACAGGTGCCTATTAAGTGTTAAGAGGGCCCTATACTCTAAATTGAACAGTTTAATATATATAGTCATTTTAATTCAAAGTTGAGACCCTAATGAGAGAACACCATCAGTATTTTTTACTGTGGTCCTTCTGCCCCCACCCAGTACTGCAAATTGGACCCAGGTGTTCTCTACTACTGAGCTACATCCCCAGCCTTTTGTATTTTTTTAGACTGTCTTGCTAAATTGCCAAAATTGGCCTTCAAATTTGCAATCCTGCCTTAGTCTCTGCAGTAGCTGGGATTACAGGCCTGTCACCATGCCCAGCAACAGTGGCCTTCTTGAAGGGTCTAATTTGAGAATGCCAAAGGATACTCTATTCTTTGATTCTGCTATGAGTTATGATACTCTGTATTTCTTCAGAAGTATTTCACTTGGTGTAATGAAGTCAAAGTTCGGAGTGATTCAGTTTTCCACAAGTTAGGTGTTTTTGTAGGATGAGCAATAAACTTATATCCTAACAAAGCTAGGTTAATTAAAATTACACTGTTTATCTTTGCTGATCATCAGGAAAGGATATTCTGTTTCTTAATTTTATTCCTAAGGCCTTTTTTTCTTCTTAATTAACTTCTGTGATTCCTGCCAGACTTGGTGAGCGTGACACAGCCCAGGCATGTCCCTGGAGCATGCATCGTTTTTGGCTCTTCATATGCTTCTAGCTACATAGGTGGAGGTGGTAGGTGGGTGGTCTATGGGCCAGAGCCTGAGAGCCTCCCACAGGCTCCTCCCTCTGTTACAACTGCATGTACAACCAAGAGTGAAAATGAAGCTAACTGCATCACCTGATTGACATTCCAGGATCAATTTAAATGTCATCTACAGAAAAGCTGTTCATGTCCTCCCTACTCACCTCCCATTACACTGTTTTGTCTGTGTGCCATCTGAAATTATATGTTAATTTGCGTATTTGTTTCATTTGCCTTGCACAAAAATATTAACTCCAAAAGAGCAGTATCTTCCCTGTCCCTACTGTGTCCCCAGTATTCAGGAGAGTGCCTGACACTAGTACACACTTAATAAGTACTTATGCAAACAGTTCCTTGAAAAGTACAGCCTTTCTATAGCATTTGTTTGCAGTTCCCCTTTTCTGTGTTTTTGTCTGTTTTTGGTGCCAAGGATTGAACTCAGGGGCACTTGACCATTGAGCTGCATCCCCAGCTCTTATTGATTTGCTTAGGGCCTTGCTAAGTTTCTGAGGCTGTTTGAACTCATGATCCTCTGCCTCAGCCTCCCTAGTTGCTGGGATTACAGGCATGCACCACCACGCCCAGCGTTTGTTTGCCTCTGGAAGCTTCCAAAGGGCTCCTGATGAGGGGTCTTCTGCAAGATGTCCATTTCTGTCTCCTAATAACTTCTCTCACCCAAATATCCAGAATACAATGGCTTCCCTGCCCTCAAAAATATTAGTGAACTGAGTCCTACAAAGTTTGGGTAGTTTTGAAATTTCTTTATACCAGGCCTTAGGCCAAAATTCTTGATCAAATCAGGCATTTTCCAGACAGCCTAGGACAGAGTCCTTCCACACTAGGGTTGGGATCCATTGTCAGATTTCCTGAGTAAAATTTTGTTCCTTCTGTAAATATTTAGCTAGAACCTAAATATTAATGTTCTCCCACCAATTCCAAGGAGAAAGCAAACTGCCAGAACCTGAAATGGTCTCAGGATGACACAACACAGCCTTTTCAATAATTATCTATGATCAGGTGCACTGGCTTCCCAAGCATCCCCTTCTTTGCATGACTCTTTGTTTTTTGCTACCATATTAAGCATCTTGTAACTCAGAGCAGTATCATTCTGACAGGTGCCTAGCCATTTCAGGTGAGATTGACCTGAGTTAGGCCCCTTTTGCAAATCCTCTTCATCAGTCTTTCTGGAATGTTAGCGGCTCACAAGTCCACTGGCAGCAGGATGGTGTTGCTGTTCTATTGGTTTATTCCAGGGTACAAAGATAAAGGATAGGCCCCCATACTGTCTGCTCTCCTGACCCCTTTGGAATCTTCTCTGGGATTGAAAGGGTCCAGGAGAATGCCACCAAGCCAGGGCAGGTTGGCCATTCTCCAACTGAGGGGAGCAGGAGGCAGCGCAAGAGGAATCCTAACTCGGAGATGAGAATATAGATTCCAGTGCCCAGTAGTGCCATCTCTCTAGCATACAGAAAAAGGCATGCTAAAAGTGTCCTGGTGCTTACCTGGCAAGAGTTCTGAGTCTAGAACAGATCCATGTGCCATTTGGATAGGATGAGGTCAAGGTTATAGTTTCTAGCTCTCAACTGTCTCTCTCTGCCTCTACTGGACTTCATTCTTATTCCTGTCCTTGTTCTCTTTCCTTGTTGTGTCATTTCTCCTCAGCCTTCCCCTCCAGCCCTTCAGCTTTTCCTTTCTAGGAGCCTCTACAGACGAACTCCTACCTTAAGTATTTACTTGTTTACAAATTTTATCAATCTGCTTATAATAAAGTTGGTTTTTAGTGACTTTGACATACTGGTGGGATGTGACCATGGGATCTTCATAGACTTAAATGGGCCCAGATTCTCATATGCTTTGTGCTGTAATTTAAACTTGCAGTTTGTAGGTTCCAAAGCTCCTATTTATTCTTCAATCTGCCTTGCTTCTATTTTGATTCTGCTAATACAAATTACAGTTTGGTGTTTCCACGGAAACAATTCAGTGATTGTTTGGCTTGCCAAGATGAACTGCAGGGAGGGAAGCCAGTAATGTAAAACATTTAAAAGTTTCTCAGACATGATCAAGGTCAACTATCATATCTCCCTGAGAATGCTTTGGTCCTAGCTCCCTGAAAACCTAAGGAATTTTTATTAAATTATATGTTCTAAGCATCTATCTCTGCTCCAGTTAAATTCCTGAAGAACTCCCCATATCTGTTCTGAGAAGTTGAGCACACATCTGCCCATCATATTGATGTGGATGACAAATGTAGGAAGGTCTTCTTGGAGCACATCAGAGAACCAGGGATGCAATGGCAGGAGTGGATGTCAATAGGGAGATGAGGAGCCCAAGTGCTAATCTGGAGACTGGCATGTCAGAGGCTCATACTTCAACCTGCTGGGCCCAATAACTATTCCTACAGTGAGAAAAAGTCCCTTGTTCTGAGATCCTAGGATGAATTACCTATTTGGTAATCTGCCAATTTTCATATAAAGCCTTTCTTAAAATAGAAGTATACCTGTCTTCTGGCCAGGGGAGAGCCTGAACCCTCCTTCCTCCCCCTCCTTGGGTTGGGTCCTCATATCCAAGGGCCACAATCTCCACCCTAGGCAGAAAGAAAAAATTTTTCAAATCTTCTCATTGCAGTTTTCTATAGTTAGATCTTGATCACCATGAGCAGGAGCCACTTCCTCCTCTGCAATGCCCTGCCTAGGGATAGATCAGACCTGAATCAGTTAATTGAGCTCCTAAGAAATTGCTTTGTGAGCTGGGTGTGGTGGTACACACCACCTGTAATCCCAGTGGCTCAGGAGGATGAGGCAGGAGGATGGTGAGTTCAAAGCTAGCTCGCCTCAGCAATGGCAAGGAGTTAGTGAGATCCTGTCTTTAATAAAATACAAAATAAGGCTGGGGATGTGGCTTAGCAGTTGAGTGCTCCCAAGTTCAATCCCTGGTGTAACTCCCTCCGCCCAAAAAAAAAAAAAAAATTACTCTGAATCCTAGTGCACCCAACCTAAAGATCCAGCACCCTCAGGGAAGGGAGCCCCCTTGTTACAACAGTGTTGCCAAGGCCTCCTGTTGTGACCCCATGACTTTCTACCCAGTACTTAGATACAGGGCTGATTGGGTCTGGCAGGTATTGATGAGGATACCCATGGCTAGTTGATTTTAATAAAAACAACTTTAGGGCTGGGAATGGAGCTCAGTGGTAGAACACTAGCTTAGCTTGCATGAAACCCTAGGTTTTATCCCTAGACCATGAAAAAGCAAAACCAAAAAGCTTTAATTTCTTTTTACAGAGGTGATACAGGTTACAGATAAATTAGAAAATACAAAAAAGACTATACTCCTTATTGCCCCTCATATCAGGGTTTTGATCATACATATTCTCAAAGACTTGGGATCTATTGCAATTTTTTGTTAAAAACATTTAAAAATTTGGAATAATTTTAGACTTACAGAAAAATTGACAAAGATATGAGCTCATATATACCTTTCACCAGGGTTAACATCTTACAAAACTGTGGTATGTGTGTCAAAACTAGGAAATTGACGTTTTGACATTATTTGGATTTCATCAGTTTTTCTATTAATGTCCTCTTTCTGTTCTAGGATGCAGTCCAGAATTGCACATTTTGTTTAGTCATTGTCTCTCTTTAGTACCTACTTATTTGTGAGAGTTTTTGAGTCCTTGTTTTCCATGACCTTGACTTGAGTTCTGGCCAAGGAGATCCTGTAGCATCTCCTCCAATTTTAGTTATCTGACATTTGTCTCATGGTTACTTACTGGGTGGGAATATAGGTTTTGGTGAATACCATAAGGTAAAGCACTCTTGGCATCCTGTTGGGGTATGTGTAACATCCACATGACACCATTGATGTTAAATCACTTGGTTAAGGTGGTGCCTTCAGGCTTCCCACTGTACCTTTACGATTTTTCTTTCCTTTAGATATTGGGAAAAAGTCACTAAGTCCAGCTCAACCATAAGAGGTGGTAGGGGGGTAAGGAGGTAGGGTAAGGTAATTGAGCTCCTCCTCCTCTATGAGTATTCATATGTGCTGGTTTGAGATCTGCTTTTATGAAATTAAATGGCCTAACATCTATTCAGATCATTCATTCTTCACCTAAGCAAGGGCAGCCAAGGATGCTGTGAGCACTAAGAACCTGACCTCCAACTCCACAGGCTGTGAGTGCTTATTGAGCATGCTGCCTTCTGTAGACACTGAGTGCGAAGTAGCCTAAGAAGAGCCTCTGGTTAACTAGCCAGTCCTCTTCTCCTGCCCCAAGCAGGGCAGTGCCAGTGGCTATAAGTAGGTGGCAACAAATGAACACCCACTATGGAGGCCAAAAGTACAAAGTGGCCAGAGTCCAGCTGCACCATAGTTTTGAGGGCACAGTCAGGTGCTGGGCTGAGCTCTACTAAGGAGTGGATAGTGTGTCTGTGATCTCTGCCTTCAAGCCTAAAGAATCACCAGATTTGTGGTGAAAGTGACTGTAGTCTGCTAATTAGACCTATTCCAGGGTCACTGGCCTAGAAGCTGACTTAGTGGGCAGTTACTCAGCCACCAGCCTTTTCCCAAGTTCTGATCTGTTCAACATAGTGCCAGCCTCCCCAGTCCCATCTTCCCTTATTAGCTAGGAAGATAGGCATGTCCCTGAGACTCAGTTTCTGGGAAATATAAAAACTTGCCCAACAGTATATTAGTTTTCCTGAGAAGACGACATGGTTTTGAAATTTTGTGTAAATAGTTTCTGGTGATGTCTTTTTTTTCTAGGGGTGGCATCGGAGTTCAGCCCTGCTATGCTTTTGCTGTTAGGCTGACCTCGGAGTGCAGGAGCCTGGCCCCTCCTTCATTCACTGCCCTGTCTTGGCCCAGCAGGGTCACTGCCATGGAATCCACCCATGGTAGCCAGACCTGCAGAGGGATGGATGGATGAGATGTAGGTACAAATCCTGTATCTATCCCTCTCCTCCTACCCTCATCTGGGGCCCAGGTGTTTGTGTGGGGGTACATGGTAGGGAGGCCTCATGGGAACATCCTGTTAGGAGGGAATCTGCCAGCAACTCTGCCGCCAGAAAGAAACCTCTGCAGAGACTACTCTCTGAACTGAGCAGGTAGTTTGGGACATGAAGAGGCCATGGGGCATATGTAAGAAACAGGGAGCTATGTGTGCAAGGGGAGCCAAATATGTAAGGGAATCAGAGCATCCACACCAAGGTCTAGCTTGTTGTGGATTCTTCTGCATAGGCTGAGCTGGCCTAGGGGTGGGCTGGTACCAGGGGTTGTACAAAGCCCATTCTGGTTATAGCTCCCATACTTTTTCAAGGGCCCAGGAAAGAAAGAATACCAAGAGATGCAGCAGAGATGCAACCCATACCTACCTTTAGGACTAGGTATACTGAATATTAATCAAAATCAAAACACTTTCAAAACACTGAGTAAAAAAAAAAAATAACAATATGAAATATCTCAAAGCAACAGAATACAAAAACTGGGCTCTCAGCACAAAAAGGGACACAACTGAAGTTTAAAAAAAGGGTGTGGTAATTCAGCTTCTGCCGGCCCTCTGAAAATGCAGCTCCTGATGATCACTGTGGCTGCTTCTGCATAGAGTACTTGATGACAGCCTCTACTGTAAAGAATCAAAGCTAAAAGCAACTCTCCTTACTCAATTTGGTATTTAAAAGAGGTCATCAAGTTGTAGTCCTCTTCCAAATCCAGAACAGTCTCGACAATATTCTGATCATCGAAAGCCTGCTTAAGGCTGCCAGTGTCTATATCTGAGGACTTCTGAGGGCTCTCGTCCACAAGCAGGGCCCAGGCTTCCTCCTTGAAGGGTGAATCTTGGCAGTGACCACACACACGGTTTAATTCATTTTCAAATTCTAGTTTTCCAGCCAATTCTTCAATAGTTCGGATGCTTGTATGGTCTTAAAGATAAGAACACTCAGCTTTACAATTCCAAGGAGAGGTTTCTAAAGACATTTCAGGCACCAGTTAAAAACCACAAGTGTGAGAGATTGGGCAGAGCTGGGCATTCTTACCCCAGGGCAGTCAGGTTGCCAGACTGAATGCCAAAGTAAGGTGGGCTTGGTATATTCCTTTCAGACACAAACGTTTATCCATCCCCAACTATCTGCCAGTTCCTAAGTTTTAAGTGGAAAGACATAGAAACGCACACACTTGTCTTGGCTCTCAGGGAACTCCCTAATACAGATGAAAAGACATGGTGTGAAACAAAAAAGGTCTTCAGGGGAATCAAAATGCTGCCTGCTGCTGGTGAGGGCCAAGGAGATGGTGGGCAGAGGCAGTGATGATTTCAGTTATCTCCTGGGGCTACTGTAGGAGACTTAGTCCACTAAGTCACAGGCTGGTCAAGGTTTTATAGCCTAAGGTGAGTACCACCCCTCTGTCAGGCTTCCCTCCCATCCTTCATAACCTGGAGACCAGCTTCAAGCAGCATTCAAGGCTATACACCCCTTAACTAGAACTATTTGTCCACTGTGTAAATGAATCATTTAAAAAGTCATACATCCAGGCACAGTGGCACATGTCTATAATCCCAGCAACTCAAGAGGTTGAAGAACAAGTATGGCAAAGGTCAAAATCAGTCTCAGAAATTTAGTGAGATCCTTCCTTGGCAATGTAGAGACCCTGTCTCAAAATTAAATAAAAGGACCGGGGACATAGCTCAGTGGTAAAGTACTCTTGGTTTCAATACCCAGTGTTAGAAAGCATGTCTGACAAACTGTATACTATTATGTTATCAGTGACTCTCTCTGGGTGGGGGGAAGTACAGGAGAGCTTT